GATATCATACTTGCGGAAAGGAAGGCGGTGAACAGTTTGTATTTGCGACGACGCAACGATTTCTGAACGTATTCGTGCGTAGCGGAATGTAAAGCAGAAGTCATTAGGAACCATTTAGTTAGGAACGTCTGTAACAAACGCTAACGTGAAATGAACTATGCGGGTGAAAATGTTGTGTTATTTTGTATGACCTGTTTTGGAATGTTTGAAGTGGTCTTCACTGACAGTAGTTCACCCTATTGCTGTTAGGTACGGAATAATGTTTTTGGAGAGTCGTGACGGTAATTTTCAAAAATCCCATTAAACATGCCCCTCCATATCACAAATAAATAGATATCCAGTTGCTGAGATTTTGGAAGGGATTACGAAACCGCTAGAAAAAGTTCATTAATAGGAAGGGATCGTGTATGACTTAAGTAATTATGGAGTCGGGGTCTAATATGTTCATTGTCCCCTGATGTTTAAATCTTTGGCCGTAGCAGCTGGGTTCAAAGCGATTACCTTGGTCATGGTCCGGATCTGTTTAGGGGGCTCCTCACACAATCCCATAGACCCTCTGATTTTCTATCTAGTGGTCATAGTCTCTCAAGTGAGTTGACGAAGAGCTATAAATGGCACTGGCTCTATCCTGTGCTAATTATATTCACGATTGCATGTCCAAACCGAGACCGTGCATCTTAACGTTTTCATTAGTGGCAACTTTGGTTCCCCCACAGGCGCACTGATTGCAGCAGGGTTTCAAAAGGGTTGGTGTAAATGCTAAGCCAGAAAAATTGTATTGTGCAACTCTTGCAAGCCCTATAGTTTACCTTTCAGCCAAAAAGGCTGTATACACCCTCGTCAGATAAAACACATCCGGTGGGAAGACAGTTTATTCCTTATTTCCCCTTCTCTTGTTGTGAGTACACATGCAAGATAGGGTACAGACGAATTGCGGTACATGGTTATTCAAGGTGGTGCTTGTCGGAATGTCGAGAGTGTGGAGAGGTGGGAAGAACAGCGTGCTAATTTAGAGTCAGTGGGTGGTTAGGGTCTGCGAGAATCCTCTCTGTAAGGTAGACACAAGAATTTAAATGAGAAGTTGAAAGTTACACAACTAACTCGTTTGCAGAAACTATCATTAATGGTTATTAACCATTAGTTTGCGAATAAAAACCACGTGATCTATTTGTTTACCCGTTTTCTTGGCTTGTACAATGATGCGGTTTGGTACACCGGCAGTAGTTAAACCTCAGCTAAAGCCTTAAATAGATTAATGGGCGTAACGGTACGCGTAAAGCACCCAAAAACTGAGCTGCACCTCCAAAATAGAAATTTGTATCCAGTGAGCTCAATTGATTTTGAAAATTGGATCAGTAAATTCTTTGCATCATTCACGTGTGCGATAAAAAAGCTCCGAAAAGCGACATCAAGCTGTTCAAAAGCAAACTCACCCGTATCCTTGCTATCACATCCGCTTCCATTGGTTTGACCTCATTCTTGACCGGGTCTTCCAACAGTTCCGTGGTCAGTTCCAGTAGGACACGGCCACGATAAGCAACACCCTCTCCTTTGCCTAGATTGAGCGCGTCGAAACGGTCAGGCAAGTCGGAATACTCTCGTGGAGAACCGTACAAGTTAACAAAACACGGGCCAAATGTGGGCAGGAAACCTTGGACCAAAATAGAAATAGAACGAAGATCCCATTTACTCGATGAAAAGTGTGTGAGCTATGCCATCACAGTTTTTCCCCTAACTTTTTTGAGCGATGCTGACAAACGTGCCTGTTATGCATGCGAGACTGTACACCTACCTATATAGGCAATACAAAACGTGTTATAAAAAACTGTAACCGTCCACTGACATCGTCCAACTATCTCCTCATATCAACGTTGAACTGCTTCCCATGAAAGTCAGAACATCTTTTCACCCCAAACCGAATCGGGATCGGAATAGGGTTTTATGGTTCGTAAAACGGGATCAGTAATCAAGTAAGAAAATGCGTCCAGCACGACCGATATATTATGCTCTAGTGTTTGAGACTTATGAAAATTAGGAAGTTCACAGCGATGTTTCTCCTTCCTCACCCAACCCCCTTCTCCCAGGTTTCGATGGAAGGCTAAACAATATTTGGAGTGATCGGTAATAATCGTTCGGATATCAAAATGGGGCTCAAAAAGTGCCTGGGCTTGATAATTACGATGAAGTTTTACGTAGATATCTTGAATCGATATTGGGACAATTATAGATAAGTACGCAAGGTAGAAAATTTTCTGACCATGAGGACATAGCTTTGAGTTCAAGTTCGCGATTAGTTTCCACTAATCAACTTCATGGTAGCTATAAGCGAGCGTCTTAGTCATACCAAATTTACCAACTCAAAGTGATCATTTTCCAAATGTACGTGACAACGGTGGTGAGCTCCAGTGCTTTCCATGCGTGTGTATATACCGTATTTCACCTAGGTCCACTTCAGTTTTTTGCTTCCCTATACTCCTATCTTCATATTCTTAAACTTGCATCACGTATTTTCAGGAATGGCCCTTAGATTTCCCGTCAGAAGTAGTTTTCCAGCTCATCCTAAAACATCCTCTTCTCACAGGATCGCAGTACGTCACACTTTGGGCGTATTGTGACCGTATCCTTCTTCCTCTGTAATCTCCGTCCATCACAGTGCGGTCACCCCCCTAACCAGGTCCCTTTTCATTATATGGATTTTGTTGTTCGAAGCTTCGCAGTCTGGTTCCACACTACTACTATATAACATTTTCTGCTCATAAATACAATTCAACCAGACCGAACGGTGGTGTTCAAACCTTCTATAGGTTTCAACTTCAAGTGCGTTCAACCAATCGCATTCTTCCAAGACCCCGACAAAGGGGTTGGTTCTTCTACCGTCACACGCCACCGATTCGACTTTATTCTTGCTATTCAAGTGAATTACTGTTAATTCTTTCACCGCATCTGTATACCATTGTTAAGTATCTTGGCAAGTGTGCTCTTCAATGCCAGAAATATATAGCCGATTACATTTGGCTCAAAAGAATCTTTGTTATTCGAGGGTACGCCTGTCTCAATGGAATTTAGTCGAAAGGCTACTGGGGGCCTAGATTGAACCCACTCATCCAATGATTCATTCCAACATTCACGCTTGAGCATGGTGACCGATTTATCGTTCCATTTTGACCTCATTCGCTTCCTTACTCAGTCGACCAAGGTCAATTACCACCGGTTTTGTTCATTCTCGGCGAAAGTTCACACGATCAACGGTCAATGACGTAACGTGCATGTTTGAGGGGGATGGACAGTCGAATCCCACCCCACCGAAACTAACATCCTTGCTCGGGAACTCACTCACTTGTCTATAAAGAAGCCAGTTCACTCCGACTGGACGGGGTTTCAATAGACCCGGTCCAATCGGTGGCGTGTAACGCAGAAGAACGAATCACTTTATCGGGTTCCTATGCGATTGGTTGCATTCACTTGATGTTACGATGGATTCCCTTGAATTTGAAAAGGTATGGTTTTGCCAACCGCAGAATAGTATGACGCTTTTCCTAATTCCACGCTTATTCTTACACTTTTAATTCTGATCACAAAGAAGCAAGTTTTACTTCTGAAGCAATTTTGTCACATTTACATTTGGCGTCAGTTTTTATGATTAGGAGACTCAGTGTGAAGTGCAGTTCAGATATTCGTTGATTTGGATGCTAACGGTGTTTCCTACAAAAATGATTCAACACAATTTCACATCGATTTTAATGAGGGAAGATTAAAGTTACACAAGACTTATAGGTCTGAGCCGTTTTATGGTTTTCTTGGGACAACTTTTATGAAAAAATAGAAAACTCATTAATTTCTTTGGTTGTGTGACGGATCAGAACAAATCAGTGGCTGCGAATCACACTGATTTTCAAAGTTGAATTTATTGTTATTCCAGTTTAGTATATTTCAAATTTTGTTCCACAGGGGAGGTAGATTCAACGCACCTTGGACAATAGATTCTGGGAGGACTAACTTTCAAACCGAAACTTTCAACCGAAACCCAACTCGGCAGCAGTTTTCTTCTTCAAATATTGAATACATTTTGTATGCGAGATGGTACCGTATTGCTTCGCACCTTCAAAGTGTAAAATGTTACTACAATACTGGGGTGATCCTCAATCTAACTGGTGAAGTAATAGAGCTAGTGGGTGAGTTTTGTTATTTGGGCAGCTACATCTCACCCAGTGGAAGCATCGCGGATGAAGTGTCAGCTCACATACAGAACGCTTGGTTGACATTTTCCAACCTGAGAGATTTTTGGCGCCGTTGCGAAATCCGGCTGTCTGTGAAGCATCGAGTATATACTGCGGCAGTTCGGCTAGTTCTGCTATACGGCGCAGAAACTTGGCCATTGAGAAAACAGGATAAAGATAGACTGTCGGTATTTGAATATCGCTATCTACTCAGCATTGCACGAATGTGGTTGGACAGTTGGGCCAGTGAAGTTGAGGTTAGGAGCAGAGTTTTAGGTAATCGTGGTCACCCACTGGAGCTAGTAGTCGACCTCCGTAGATTGCGTTGGTTAGGGCATGTGTTACGCAAGTCATCAGATAGGTTGCCACGACGAGCCATGTTTGCCGAGGCAGATAGTGGGTGGAATAAAGCCACGGGTAGTCAACCTAAGTCCACTGAAATTTTCCATTTTCTATTCGACTCCAACTCTCAACCTTTCTATCTTTCTTCTACTGTTCTTCCAAATGGGCAGCCAAAAGACAGCAACTAAGACCGGCGCATGCAAGTGCATGGCTAATGGTTGTATAAGCTAAAGCTGAAAGTTTCCGTATTGATGGGTGCACCAATCAAAAATCACAAACACATCCACTTACCCTCGGTCCCTTTGATCCGGTGGATGCGTAGGCAGCATCGGGAGCGTGAGCGAGACAGATACAGTGAAAAAACGAGAGAAAACATAAGTAGCATCATGTATATGAAAGGAAGAATTTTTATTTGCAAAACTATACTGAGCTACAGTGATGTGATCGAGTCGAATAAAAGAGGATTGCATTGCACGTAAGATCAACATCCTAGAGAAGTGAATCATTTGTGCTGCTTTATTTCGAATAGATGATGATGATGTGACCTAGATCAAGCCCTTAGTCAACAAGGATCAACGATGTTTGTATGCTTTGTCCTTTCGGTTCGATATCCGTCCATTCTGAACACGAGATGACACGGAACTTTTCCGCCGGTTTCAGTCACGTGCGGTGGACTGGATATTGGTCAGACGTTGGTCTTTAATCGTTCAACTACTGTTTCGTTCGCATATGTGCTGGTTATCGGAATAGAAAAAGAAATCACTTCACTTATTATCATGTCCAAACACGCACTCAACAATCAATGGTCTTCGTGCACTACAAATATCGCTCTATATCATTGTCTTCGATCTTCATTGTTTCTAGCCTGACCGCGATTGATTGACCAGTCGAATCAACATGCTCATAAGTTGGCTGGATTAAAACGTCGAAATTATTCTACACTCGTTATTGACCTGGTTGAGATCGGCACATAGATTTTGGGGTCAATCGCCTGCGTTCATTTCACTTCCCGATGAACACAATGGTTAACATGAATGTTTCCAGTACTCCGTTGACTGGTCTAAATCCAAATGCGGCAGACACGGAGTGAAACTGGAAATAAAAGCTGTCAGCAAAAAAACGGCAAGTGATAAAACTGATTTATTTTTGTAGGTAAACTTCGTATAAGAATAGGCAGCTTAAAAATCAGCTAGGTACACTTAGAGCCGGCAAAATATCCTCCTCCTCCAAAACACATGTATCGTGATGCACCAGCAGGTTCCAGGCTTCTCATATCGAAGTGTAAGGAATATCTTTCCTAATAATAACCTATTTGGTCGAACTGCGGAAATCCCTTCACCGAGTCTTTGTGTTGCACTCACAAACAGATGGTGTGTGAACGTGAAAAGCATCTCGTCTGACGTACTGATCAGGAAGGACATTTCCAAATCTATTCGGGCTAGAGGTACTTTAACACTGCAAATGTGGTCANCCCCCCCCCCCTCCCTCCCCCAGGCACACAAACAGTCACTCAGTGAAGCATAGATCAGTTGAGTTTGTGGGTCATGACAACAGTTCGGTTTCTGAGAGGTTTGCGCAGCCTTCGTCGGTTGTTGGCATGATAAACAACGTAAGGTTGCGTTGCTGCAAGCGAATAAGTTCACTTTTTTTGTTCATCCGTATTACACCCGATACATGTTAAGTACCTGCGTCAACTTGGATATTGGTGTGAGAGAGCGCCGTATTATCGGCTCGGAAATAGGCCGTTGTCGGATGCTGCACAGAAATACCCAATAAATTATTCTTCTATCGAATCATGAAGTCCTTAGCCGCTCAAACACTATTATTTGTCTCCCACATCATAAGTAATTGCGAGCGACTGATGTATTCATTTTCGAATTTACTGACCATGTGATCGAAAGGCGGTGGATTTAATTCGATTTCATCCCGGAGCTCGTCGGAATCACCATTCTGAGTTTCTTCAGACGTTATCTCAAATGAAAATCAG